CACGGGAAGAGGAATTTAAATAGGCACGAGACGAAGTGCAGATACGAGTCTCGTACCAATTCAAGTCATTTACAGCCAACGGATTAGAAGGCATTAAAGACAAAGATCTGATGACAGAAAGGAGTCCAAATTCATTATTAAATACCTGATACGTTAGAAAATTGGTATTTAATAGGAATGATTGTATAACGGCTTATTCAATATCATTTATTACTCATAATTATATCATTAAAGCTGAGGCTTCATTCCTTTACCTAGAATTACCTATAAAAGGAAGAAGTATCATCATTTGTAGAGACACGGAGTACTATTGGGAACTTATTGAAATACAAAACTATTTGTTGTTTTACCATCATTCTCCAAAATATTTTATTTTCGTCTCCTGATTATCAGTAACCCGAATTTCTTTTTAGCTTTGACCAAAGACTCAGATTTTTGGTTAAACAATAATACTTCTTTCCAAACCTGTAGTCCTTTTTAACCACTTGCTAACTGGGTCTGGATCCCAAATATAATTCTCTAACATTTTACTCGGCCCAATAATCTCAATTGACCCAATCTCATTCATCTCTTCTAGCCTATGGGCCCTTATGGAGTCAACTTGGTTCACAACAATACTCCCGCCCTCAAAAAGAACCTTGTCCTGACTCAAGGTTCAAGAAAGAAAATCTCGTTGGGCAATTTAGCGTGTTATAAACACCTGGGCTACGATAGGCAAAAAGTTTTAAGAGCAAGATCATAATTTGGTTGGTAGCTTGGAGTTTAGACTTGGGTTCATCTTTATTGCTTAGCTTCAGAAGAAAAATAAATGTATTCCAGATACCATGGCAAAGAAGAGTAACAATTTGAGATGTGTCCAAAAGAGCAGAGCACCTAATGGTGTCACTCAAGCTTCCATAAGTCATCTGCCTGAGCTTAGCAACACTATTGGTTGTCGCATGAACTTTCTCAGCAACGTGAGGTACATTTGTTATACTTTCCAATAGCAACTCACAGCTAACAGTATCTGCGATGCCATTTTTACTCCCTCTTTCTTCAATATCAATTCCTAATGAAAGGGGAAGAATAATTGTGTTAGCTTTCACCATTGAAATTGCTGCCCAGATGAGATCCTTCGTGGTACCAGTGGAGTCATTTTCTTCTTTATCAAATGAAAAAGTTACATGATAGGTCAAAATGTAGGTAATACTCTCAGATATTTGGATGCCAAAAATTTCATCAAGTGCAATATCAGCAAAAGGAGCACCAGAAGGACTAGAAATATGATTCAAACCATATTCCTTAACATGCTCACATGAAATATGATACAGACCATACTCATGCTTAGACCCACCAAAGCTAAAATTATCCAACTTGAAGCACTGATGCACAGTTTTAGAAGCTCGCTCTCTATCAAATCTTGCCATTGTAACTGCAATCAACCAATTGCAACCAGGTTCTTTCTTAGTTACAGTAAAAAATTTCAGCCTTATCACGTTGAGTTCAGTTATAACCTGTCCTACGACCACAAACTTGTTCAAGAGGATAACATAAACTAATGCATCATCTAAGCCATGATGTAATTTATGGTGTGCAGCTAACTCTACCATTTCAATGACACCATAAAAGGTGTAACCCACAGGGTGCACCGTTTGAACCTTCACCTTAGGCCCACTCCTTAATTCTAATGCCTTACACTCCTGTAACATGGCAGCAAGTGCAGCTATTGCAGGCTGCATTTTACTAAGGAAGTTTGCAGCGAGAAGACGAGCATTCATTTTGGACCCATACCTACCAATTTCGACAGAATGCGCAACCTGGGCCAAGAAATCCAATAGTAAGGCCAAGAAATGTGGTTTTGGAAGTGGTTGTGGCGGCCGAGGTTGAACAGCTTGTACATCCATTGTGCAACTGGACATTTCATTAGACAACTTGCCACCCTCCGTAGTACCATCGAGGCCAACTACAGCAGAACATAGTGCAATAGGGAAGCAATGTGGTATATCAAAATGAATATTCAAGCTCTCGAACAGAATGGATGGAGAGACAGACTCACCAGGATCAAATGGAAGGTGTAGAGATGTATGCTCATACACCAATCTGATTCCATCCAACATTAAGAGGTCGTTCCTGTCCCAGAGTGTTTCGACCACTTCATTGTCAACCAAAAATTGCTCGGTATAGTGAAAAAAATTATCAAACGCCGGACTCACGTCATTTCTAGAATGCTCGTCATCTTCATATGTAACTACACTACCTTCTCCCTTGCTAATGATAAAAGGAAATCTATAGGCAGGGAGAATGAGATCAGTATTCCCACAAACTTCACTCTCCGCCTCCAAACCTTTGCTGATAACCGAGCCCATTATCTCAAAGTCATCTGCCATAAGTGAGCACTCTTGAAAAGTTTGCCTAGCTCCTTGAGAAAAATTATCAAACACCTGGCCTTCGGATGCTGTTGAGAATTCCTTACCTGGATCGACAAAACTAAATCTTCAGTAGATTGTGTAATAAAAGCACTAACCTCATTTCCGTGAGGTTAGTGCTTTATCAAACTCGCTAAAACTAAATCTTCAGTAGATTGTGTAATAAAAGCACTAACCTCATTTCCGTGAGGTTAGTGCTTTATCAAACTCGCTAAAACTAAATCTTCAGTAGATTGTGTAATAAAAGCACTAACCTCATTTCCGTGAGAGCTTTCATCAAACACCTGGACCTCCCCTAATGTTGCAATGTTTAAATCATATTCCATTACATCAGTGAGGGCTTTAACATCTGATCTCTCAGTATCAAACACCTTGGAACAACAACATCTATGTGAGATATTGTCAAACATCTGGGCTTCAATTTCAGTAGAATAATCCTTGATTGTAGCCATGTGACCTTCCGGTGATTCGAGATGCTGCTTACAAAAACGAATTCGCACCTTTGCAACAAAGTGATCCCACTCCGTCAATTGCTTGTTCCGGAGAAGCCATTGGAACCACTCTAATGCCTCACCTTCTAGGTAAATAGACGGGCGTAATAATTTGTTGTTTTCTGATGTACCGTAGAATTCAAAGTAACATTCAGCCTGAGAAATCCATAACTCTGGATCCTCGCCACTGAATCGTTGGAATCTTACTGGAGTAGGCTTACTCGTTGCAAGGTTTTCAACCAACTTACGTAACAATGAACGAATTTCAGCGATATCCTTCGACCACGGATCCGTCACGACCTTAATTGAATCATCGATAGTTCGAAATATTTGGTCCTCCATTGAAGACCTCTCAATGAAAGCACCAATGTAACAAACTGGATATCACACCCAAACCAATTGACTATATTACTCACTAAACGGAATTACAATAACCAAATAGCAATAGAACAGTAGAAAATAACACTAAAGGAAATAGAGAGTAGATGAGAAGAGAAATTGCAATCTAAAGCTAAGAAGAAAGGGGATGAGAAACTAGAGAGAACGGGATGAGAGACCAACTGAGCGAGGCTTCAACATAATTGACATAATCCTTCTCTCCAAACATGTAGTCCTTTTTAACCACTTGCTACCTGGGCCTGGATCCCAAATATAATTCTCTAGCATTTTGCTCGGCCCAATAATCTCAATTGACCCAATCTCATTCATCTCTTCTAGCCTATGGGCCCATATGGAGTCAACTTGGTTCACAACAGTATCCTAGGTAAGTATAAGTTTTCCCAATAGAAGACGTCATATAATATTATATTCCTTGCATCCTAGCAGTAATTTTTGCTAATCTACCTGTTTTACGGGACATGACAATTTTTTTTTAAAACGGTAGTGTCTCCAAATCCTGTTTAGGAGCATTTGAGGAAATATTTTGACTTCTCCGATGTTAAAAAGTAAAATAGAGAATAGACAGTACTGGGGTTAGCAAAAGTGAATGTTAGAAAACTTTTTCTAATATTTTAATGTATTAAATTTTGAAATAAGTGAGCAATATCTTGAGACTAGCCAAAAAGAGAATGCAGACCAGTAAAGCACTTGGTCACTGCCATAGAAATTAAATTGCAAATGACTTATGCTCTTAGTTGATGAGACAATGGAGTCGAAGACATCACGCAGCACAAGAAAAAAGTAAATAACTGGCACATTTTACTTTTGAAAAAGGAAACATGCTGTTGTTCATAGCAACCTTCAAACTGAAGAACATTAAATGTGAACTAGTAATACTTCTACCCATTCTCAGTCCAAGCAAAGTAAATGACACTGTTATTTGTTAATGGCATTGCTCCACCAGATCTTTACTGACTGTAGTCCACAAGCATTTACCTTGACTTCTTACTTCGCATTCCCATCCGTGATTTTGCATATCTAAACATTTCATTAAGGAAAAATGTAATGCAAAAGCAGAAAGAATTTAAAACAATAATGGGTTTAGAGTTCAGAGAAAGCAAATAATTGATGGGAGTTCGGAAAGGATACTCCAGTCGCATGCCCTCTCCAGAGGTGGAAGAATACAGAACGGTCCCTTGAAGACGACCCAATGCCTCAGTTGAGCAGGCAGTGTCCTGGAAACATGGTTAGTAATATCAATTTCAGGTTTCACCTCCGTTTATTCTTTGTGTATTTAGGTGAACTTGATATGCAGCATATTACAATAACATCAGACCCAGTATAATCTCACAAGTGAGGTCTGGGGAGGGTAGTATGTACGCACCCATACCCCTCCTTATTAAGGTAGAGAGATTGTTTTCGATAGACCTTCGGTTCAGGAAAAGCAAAGTCACAACATAGTTGAAAAGAAATACAATAATGGATAAACCACGAAAAGGAAACAGAAACACGAAGCAGTACCAACAATAAGATAACAAGAAAATTGAAGCAACAAAACAACAGGTAGTAATACAAATCTAAGTATAAAGAGTACGAGAGTGCTATACATACATGGAAGACAATGATAAACTCGTGACTACCTACTAGTCTTCTACCCTAGTTCTCGACCTTCACACCTTCCTATCTAGAGACATGTCTCGATAAGTTGCAGATGTGTCATGTCCTGCCTTATTAACTCTCCCCAATACTTCTTTGACCTACCTTTCCCTCTCCTCAAACCCACCAAGGCAAACCTCTCGCACTGTCTTACCGAGGCATCGGAACATCTCCTCTTTACATACTAGTCTTTTACTCATATGTATATAAAGTACTATTGAAACCCTGAATGGCTAAATTCCTAATTTCTATTTTCTAATTCTCAATTGTCTGCAGCCACCAGAGGCAGAGAAGTCGTCAGTCTCGTCTCTCTCTTGAACTGAGAACTGAGAAGTCGAAAAATCAAAATCTCAATGATTAATAAGTGTATGTTTGTATGAGTAGTCTTGATGGTATTAAAATTTTGGTTAATACGTATATGACAAAATGAGTAGTCTTGAACACTCTTCAATTAAAAAATATCGTTTGGTTAGATCTTAGATGGTATTAAATTTTGGTATTGATTTGAAACTGTTTGGTATTGATTGAATGATTGTTCAAAAAATTTCTATTTGGTTTAGCCGATAAGCCGCCCGATAATTATTAATTTGATACTAATCCGCCCATTGTCTTATTGGATGGCTAGCGGATTACTATATTTATAATCCGATAACCGTTAAACCGAACCGTTAAGCGTAATTATCCGCCCGATAAGCACCCCTAACACATCTATATCAGCATCCTCGTTTCCCGCTACGATATGCAACAAATTATTGACCTTAATGTGGTAGCACACTAACGGAAGAGAAACAAGATAAAGGTAATAGTTAACGTTTCCAAGTTCCAATATCAGTACCCCCCAGTGGAAGCTTCCCCACCAACCCCTTTTATTGGGACAGGGGAGGGGTTGTGTGGGGTGTTGTGATGGGTTGGCTCGGAAGATTGGTTTAGGGAAATATACATCATCAGTATGAAGTGAGATTTTGAATAGATGCCATAGTTGACATTATGAGAAAGCTTAGAAGGTAAAGATAACACAATGGGATATCCATGTATAGCTAAAAATATATCTCAATGACTGCAATATGCATTTAAAAAGTAACTCTCTTTCCAACTGGTTATGACTTCAACATATTGTAAGAAATCATTATCAATTCCTCAATTCAGAAAAACACGTATAGATGTATGATAACACTTGTACAGCTCGCACAACTTTGTGCCACAGTTAAAGATTATTTACCATTCTCAAAAAAAAAATGTATGAATATCTAGGGGAACACAGGAAGGCTTCTTTCGAAAAGCAGAGCTCAGGCCTTAGGGTGAAGATTCCAAAAAAAGCCAAATTAAGGTTCTTTAAAACAAAGTAAAATCAAAATTAAGGGATTAAAGCTGCAAAACATGTTGGAGGCACTGCTAAATAATGACTTTATAAGGCAATACATGCTGTAGAGAATAAGCTAGAGAAAGCAGTAAAGAGTTTGAGGATGCATGAGAACAATTATAGTATACCATGTTGCTTTATTTAAGATGCTTCCCAGTCACATCAATAATGGAACACCTATCCCAAAATATGGGATAGTACCAACTAGGTGGTTACCTAATTTATATCTGAAACAATGAGCAATGCCTCTTTAGTGAGGGCGTTTTTTTCCTTCTCCCCAATATTACATTTTGTTGATTGAAAGAATAACTGCTATCCATCTAGTAAATATGGGTTTGCTAAAGTGATTCGTGCAGTTGGTGTCCCATCGAGAGTTGAGGGTCCTTACACTGCAAGAGTGTTAGCTCATGTTAACTTTTAGAAACGAGAGACAAGAGAAATGAGAATAGTGGTGGCAGTTATAAGAGGGGAAGCCCAAAAGCAAAGATGCCACACAACGGTATCTCATACGGCGCTGTAATTATCATAAGGGTGTCAGAATGGATGGCTGACCCCTTGCAATTAAACTCTTTGTTCGGCCTTCCTATAAACCTAGAAACGCCAAATCTTAACTTCAGGAGCATGAGCAACAAACGAGCCAGTTGCTTGGATTTAAGCATCAGTCTTAAGACATTAAGATTCCTGATCCTAGAGCCAAGTGGGGCACTGATAAATACATTTCGCTAAGAACAACAAGAGGTCTTAAGATGACATCCCACACCCAATGAAGCTCTTTGACAACAGTTCTCTTCCATCGTTGTGCTGATGTGTGGTAGTTCTTTTCCGACGTTGCTATTTCATAAAGAAAGGTGCCCATATATGTACTACATGTGAATATGTAGATAAAAGTTGACATTCTACTCCCAAGTTACCGAGCTTGCAGCAGTATATTTCTTAACTCACGCATAAAGCCAGTCTAGCCCCATAAAAATAAAAAATAGAGAAAATAAGAAAAGAATTACCAGAATAATCAAAGAGGTGAACCTAAGATGGCAAAACAGCAAAATAGAGGAGATGAAAACAGGCGAAACGGTACTCTGTTTAGCGTAACCCCAGCCTTAAGTAACAAGGTCAAAGTGCACATTATCATGCCAGTGCGTTAACCACAGGAAAACTGAATTACCAGTTGGAAGCACTAAATTTTAGTCGACAAGTTTATCAATATAAAAGAACGGTGAATCTTGGATGTTCTGCAGTTAAACGATTACTTGAATGAAAATGCAACAGTTAAATAATGTGCTTACAACGGTTAAATTCTTGAAGAATTTAATTAGGAGATGCATCTGAACTTCCTTATTAAGATTGCTGAGGCAACATGATAAAACATGCAGTATGTCCTTATTAACTGGCTAAGGATTTAGCTAAATTAAATAGGGGGCAATGAATCTACAGGGAAGAAAGAAAAAGTTGTTGGTAAAGGGACAAAGATGCACTTAGAAAAAGATAAAGGACACGCAGAAGAAGTGTGGGAATAGGTTGAGCAACTGCCACTGCAAAGATGAGTAATAACCTTACCTGAAAGTCGACAAAAGCAACAGGAGCTCCATATGTGCCCTGCATCTTCAACTTTAAAAACCCCCGACATCTAACAATGTCAAAGAAAGCACAGTAACCATCCAGTATACCAAATACTTCAGAGGTTAGAACTAAAAGGGAAACTTGTCAAAACCTTGAAAATACTTGAATCAGCTCTTGCTCATTACAACTTTGGCCCAGATTAGCAACGAAGATTGTTGGACATGGATCAGCCGCCTGTGGAACTTAAGGTCATGAAGATCATCACATTAACAAAAAAGGAGCTTTGGACTGGGAATAAAGCGAGAATCCAAGACTAAGAATGGCAGCACCGCCACTAGTTTACAGAAGTAGCACAAGATCTGTTTAAGAGTATGGTCCTTGTATGTGACATGAGTGTACATTTGAAGCACCAATTTGAGTCTTCAAAAAAGAAATAAACTTAACTTCAAATATCCTAGTTGTCGGCCAAGAAGCAATCTCATAGAGGATTTGCACTCATTGTTTTTGCTTATATGGCTCCAAAAAGGAGAATATTATTTAAAATGATTTAGACCTTTGATGCACTTCCAAATGTTAGCTCCCTTAAGCAAATTGACCATGCTTTGCATTCACCAGAGCAATTCCACAAAATAAATCTAACAGAGTTGGAAAACATATAATCTACAAAGCTGCAATATTTTGCACTTGCAACAGAAAATATGGAGAGTTGTAGAAAGTGATTTGATCTTAATGTTATGATGCACCTTATGACATGGAAAATTATTTGAAAGCATGCGTAAAACCTAGACATTACAGGCTCATACATTAACTAATGGTACAACACCCCCAGTTTACACATGTTGATTATTTTATCTATTACAAGATTCAACAAGAACTTGAAGTACATGCTTGATGAGTGACTAAACAGACCCGTAAAAAAATTTAGAATTCAAAGGAATACGACTAAAAATTGGCAAAAAACTTTCCAAATAAAAGCTGAAATTATAGATCAAACTTGTAACAGAACAACCAACCAAATTACCATCGCCATTCAGA